CTCACTGCACCCTCAAATTCCTGGGCTCAAGTGATCTTCCTGTCTCAGCCTCCCAAGTAGCTGGAACTACAGGTATGCGCCACTATGCCCAGCTAGTTTTTTCTATATATTTTTAGTTGTCCAATTAATTTCTTTCTATTTTTAGTAGAGACGGGGTCTCACTCTTGCTCAGGTTGGTCTTGAACTCCTGAGCTCAAACAATCCGCCCACCTCGGCCTCCCAGAGTGCTAGGATTACAGGTGTGAGCCACCACGCCTGGCCTAGAAGTGACTTTTAAAAATAATTGGACCACGTTTCAGATTTCTAACTAATAATTTCCAAATGTTGCCATGGGCATCTGTCATTTAAAAATAAAAAAGAATGATAAATGGCACTTTTAAATGGTTTCGTCTATTATAGTATAAAATAAATTTAAAAATATAACTTAAGTGCAACCTCCCCATTAACCATTCACAGTAGTAGGGACAAAATGTGTGTAACTGGCCCCAAATAACTTGATATATTTAACCAGTGACATTGAATGAATAGAATCTATAATGGTTTTATGGTAAAAATATAGATAAGCCAAGATTTTTGCTATGCTTTTCCACTACCTGTCTAGACAAAATTATTCAAACTATTCTATCTTTACCACCTTGCATGCTTACCTGATAAAGTATACATCAAATCTTCCTGCTGTTTTCCCAGATAACCTTTGCTTCACAACTCTTTCCCATCCACATGGGACAGACTTATGGCATTCTGTCACTGCAGTACCACCAAACTGAGCAGAAGCAATGGGTTCTTGTAGTAGGGGATTACACTCACTGTTCCTTTTTATCATCACTTGTTTCTTATCTTCTCCTACTCTTTCCAATCCCACAACAACATCTTCCTTGCTGGGAAAACAAAATTTAAGTGGTTAACTCATTTAAAATACATTTTCCACTGCTTATTCAATTTCGATCCATGACAGTGCAAGAACTACATGGATTATTCAGATTAGAAAGAGGGAGATTAAAGTCAGTATGAACCAGTCTTGTTACAATGGGAATCTGTCCTCCAACAGTTTCCTGTTCTACAATATGACTTAAAAAACACTGGAAATCTTTGTACAATGAAAAGCTCAAGCTAGAAACTTTTTGTTCATCATTGAACAGGGCTCTTATACAGATTTCTGGTGACAGCATAAACTGGAGAATATGAACCAACAGCTGAGCTCTTAACCCGGGATCAATAAGAAATGCTTAAATAAGTCAGTGAGTCACCTCCCCTTCTTTGCAAATAAGTGAGATAAAAACTTTACATATTTGTGCATTTTTCTAGGGGAAAGTGTCTATCACTTTCATCAGATGTTGTAACACTCCAAAAGGTAAATAATTTCTGATAGAGAATTTTCAAATCTCCTTCATGATAACCTCCTTATGATAACCTTGTGAGGTAGGCAGGATAAGGTTTACTTTCATTTTATTGATAAAATTGAGTAACAGAAAAGTTAAGTTACTTGTAGAAGTGATACCAGAACCCAAGTCTACCAAATCTTGGTCTAATATTTCCCCTCCCCCATACTATTATTGAAAAACTTCAGTAAAGTGCATCTCGATTACTAAATTACACATTTTAAAAGGCGGATAGGTCTAGAGAGATCATCTAATCCAACTTCTTTTCTATAAATAGGTAAACTAAGCAAGAACGGTGACTGACTAGAATTAGAAACAAGGTCTTCTGAGTAATTTGGGGTTAAACAATTTTGGGGTGCTGGATGGATCTTATAAAATGATATCGTTTCCAATTTTAGAGATAAGGAAACTGAAACTTGGTGAAATCAGCACAAACTGTAAAGTCAACAGACAGATCTGAAATCCCAGCTCTGTCATTTACTAGCTGTATGTCCAAGAGCAGGTTCCTTAACCCCTCGGTCTAGTTTCTTCTGTAAAAAGAAGGTAACAGCTCTTTTAAAGTAGCTCTAAGGATTAAGCTTTGAAAAAAAGTAGGTAAATCATCTTAGCCTCACATAATACATATACATGTACTCAATAAATGACCGTAGCGTCCCATTACTTCTCATTTCTGGGGCGCCCCTTAACATGCCATCTCCTCCAAGGTCTTCCTAGGATCTTCCAACCCAAGCAGACCTCTCCTTCCACCACAAAACGTCCCTGCTCCTCCCAGCCCCCTAATCATTTCGGGTTGGGAAGTCGGGCGATTCCCAGGGCCGAACCCACAGGAAGAGTACCTGAACTCCAGCCCCAGCTCCTAGTAACTAAACCTGCGGATCTCAAGGTCTCTGTCAACCCTCTATTGAAGGTTAGAAAGGTCCACACATCTATTCCCCTGATGCCATTTTACAGGTTGTGAAACTGAGGCCCCAAAGGGGAAAATAACTTGCCGGAGGTCACATTGCCGGTCTGGGCTTTGGCGCTCACTAGCGGTGACAGCGGGGGCAGCTCTGCCGTTCCCCAGGATCGGACTCTCCATCCCAGCCGTGCCCATCAAGCAGGCTCTGACTGCAGCAACGAGCCGAACGGTGCGACGCCCCGGGTATGGAGCCGGGTAAGCCGTGAAAATTTTCTCAGCTCAGGGCGCTGGGCAGAAACTAAACTCTGAAGGTAGTGAAAATCCGCCAGACTCCGCAGCTGCTTTCCGGCCGCCCCCTCGGCCCCAGCCGCCATTTCCACTTTTCACCAATCAAATCCATTGTCGGGGAAGGAGCACCGCCCGCCCCGACCAATCGCGCGCACCCTAGTTGCGCTTGCGCTTTCTGGGCTTCTGTTCCCTCTTCCGCTTTTGTTTCTTTTTTTTTTCGTCTTCCCTTTTAGACATGCGCATTCAGAGATAGGCGCGCTCGAGCTTTGCTCACCGCGCATGTGCGTTGCCAAGGGTAGCGCAGGTAGCCCAAGTGGCCGGTAGAGTGGCGCCCGTTGCTGAGGCGAGGAGGAGGGGCCGGAGGCGTGAGCGAAGCCGCGATGAGAGCCGTGTTGACTTGGAGAGATAAAGTTGAGCAGTGGTGAGGAGCGGAGCAGTCAGGGAGGAGCGGGAGGTTGGGCCCCGGCGGGGATGGCGGGAGTCTCTGCGCGAACCACCATGGTTGTCTGGGGCAACGGGCCTGCGGCCTATGCTGAGGCACGAACCCCAGGCCTGGGAGGCTGCCGGTCGCCGTCCCAGCCCGTGGCGGGTGGAGAGACGTCTGCGGGTTGGAGAGGGGGCAAAGGAAGTGCCACGCGTGAGGTGGCCTGTTGAAGTTGTTCTATACATAATCGTGATCTGGTCTTGTGGCTCCCTTACTCAAAATCCGTCCTGGCCTCCTCTTGTACCCACAACAATGTTTCTGAAACACTGTCACAGTTTGTTTTGCAACGTCCACATATTACCCATACTCTTGTTTACTTGACGTTTTTTCCTAAATTATCTCACTTATTTTCGCTTAAATATGATTTTATATTTTACGTGGAAACTTTATTTCTCCATTTATGAAAATCAGTGTCGTTGGCTGTGTAAGTGCCAGATAATTGTAGAAGTTAAAGCAGGGAGAAACAAACAGAGTAAGTTGTAGCTAGATACTGTTGCGACGGAGCCTTTAAACCTGAGGTCTATTGTCTCTAAAACTGGACATTGGCAAATATGGTCAGGGAGCTGCTTAAAATGAGCATCAAATCAAGATTTCCTCTAAGTTAAAAAATTTGAAAAAGAATGGGCTGGCGCGGTGGCTCACTCCGGTAATCCTAGCACTTTGGAAGGCTGAGGCCGGACGATTGCTTGAGGCAAAGGAGTTCGAGACCAGCCTGAGCAAGAGCGAGACCCCCGTCTCTACTACAAATAGAAAAATTAGCCGGGCATGGTGGCGCACGCCTGTAGTCCGCCCTACTAGGGAGGCTGAGGCAAGAGGATCGGTTGAGTCCAGGAGTTTGAGGTCTCAGTGAGCTATGATAACACCACTGCACTCCAGCTGGGGTGACAGAGTGAGACTCTGTTTCAAAAAAGAAAAAATTCCATAAAATGTTTGAAAAAGAATCGAAGGAGAATGACTTCCTCACCATATGATTGAATGTTATTTAATGTCCTATTCCATTTTTATCACCTAAGTTAATCATACAATGGTACATTTTGAGAAATACTGACTTATTGGCTAGTTCTCAGCCTGACTTTCAAAATCTTCCTACATGATCTTTTCAGCTTCGTTGTGAAGCCTCGATTTTGGCCACTGGGACAGGATACTTGCCATTTGTTTTCTGTCTTTTCTGAGGCCTTTGTCTGCATAAAGCATGCCTTCTTTCCTCATCTCTTCTAATTGAAATCCTAAACATCATTTAAGGCTCCCTTTGTAGATGGGTCCTCTCTCTTTTGTGTTCTGCACACATTAGCTGTGAGAGCTAATGCTTTGCTATGTGCTAGGCACTTGCTGAGAACTTCATGTTTTTTATTTCATTGTCTCATCACAACAACCGTCTGAGGTAGGTACTATGATTACCTCTATTTTACATATGAGAAACTGAAGCACAGAGAGGGTAGATAATTTGCCAAGGTCACACAGCAAGTGAGTGGTGGAGCCAGCTTTCAAGGTCAGGTGTTCCTCACTCCAAAGCCAGTACTCTCAGCCACTAACATTAATTTTTCCCCTGTGTTACAGAGGTGGGAAACTCAAATGTTTGCGGGAATCAGGCAGGTAACATAAATGGGAAATGTTTGTTTGCATCTTAAAACAAGGAATTGTCTGTTTTCCCTAGGAATATTCTTCTATATCCCACTTTTCTTAAAACACATAGCCCTACTAGTGTATCTTTCATTTTTACTTTTAAGGGAGATTTGAGTAAAAAAAGAAAAACTCATTTTACTTTTCTTTTAACTCTATTATGAAAGTACCCATAGCACAAGCTAGTGATAACTGGGAACTGAATATTTGGCTTCAACGTCAGGGAGTAATAGAGGGTGGCAAGGAGTGTGTGGCAAACTGAAGAGCTCGTGCTCTGCCTAAAAGGGGCAGCTGCTGCTCAGCCCCTGCCAGTTACCACCATGCAGGAATTTGGCCTAGTATGCTCAGATCTTCCTGTTTTTACCAGAAGCTAGGAATCTGGGTTTTTATGTGAAATGTCCTAATTTTTACATATTGGCACCTAATCTGACAAAACAAAATAAAACACCATGTGGGCCAAACAAAACATTTGCTAGCCAAATGCAGCCTGATTTGCTCTGTTTTCAACCCCTGGCACAGAATTTTGTTCATTCCTCTCTTGTAGTACTTAGAGTCTGTCGAGTGTAAGAGTTATTTTTTAATTTGTTTACCCCAAAAGTCTATAAACCCTTTTATAGGCAATGGCTATGTCTTATTCATTTCCAAATTTTTCCAGCCTAGTCAAGTTAGCAGTTATTGTTACTATTTGATGAATTGATGTATTCTTGAATGAATGAAGAAGTGAGTGACTGAATGATGAATGAAGATTAGTGATCTGGTTTCTGGCCCATAACAGGTTTGAAACACCCTAAAGGGGTGTAGGGGTTCCATAGACCAGCAATCCCAATGGCTGCTAGATAAGCCAGCTGATAGCCCAGAATGAGACAAACAAAACAAAAAACTATGAAAAGTAGATAGTAGAACTAAAAAAAATCCCAGATATCAAAGATTAGTCCTCCACAACTGAATCAGCCATTGTCTCCTGGTCTGCTCTTTTGCTTCCAGTCTAACCTTTGTTTAGCAGCAGGAACTCTCTTTTTCAAGACCTGCTGTTGTCATCCCGTTACTCTACTTCTCATAAACCTAGAGTGATTCCCAATTACCTTCCATGTCAAATCGTGCATTTTGCTAGATTGTCCTCCTCATCCTCTTCCTTCAGGCTTGAAACATTTAAATTTATACTTTTCAGCTCAGCCAAAAATTCAGTTTTCCTACCCAAAGATCCTTCCTAAATGCTCTCTTATTCTGTGAACTCCCTTATTTTCTCCCTTAAATGCACCGCTCCAGATTCATCTCAGCCATGATGCTTTATTAGGCTAGCACACCTTATTCCAATCAGGCTAGCATCTGCTATATCTCTCCGTTCATACCAGCTAGTATTTAATGAGTACTTGCTGTAGGACAGATCAGTTTGCACACATTATCTGTTTAATCTCCAAAACACATGTGAGGTTGGAATTTTTATCTCATTTACAAATGAAGAAATTAAGATTTAATGAGATGACATAATTTGTGTAAGATTACAAAGCAAGTAAGTGGGCTGGGTCAGATTGTGCAGGCTTTGGGAGGGGCACTTTGGGACTTCAGTTTATAGTGGGGTGGGTGCAGGATAGGCAGAGGGCAATTTGCAAGACTCACCTTCTATCTCTCTGCAATGGAATCTGACAATTTATTTTTTTGACAATCTATCTTTTTCATAAAAGGGAGCAGATAGAGAGAGAAAATCATCCTATAGTAGAATGAACTGCCTTCAGGTGAGTGAGCTCCTCAGCCCTGGAGTATTCAATCAAGCAGAGGCTAGATGGCCATCTGTAGGGAATTCTTGCCCTGGTGGGGGAGTTGGGCTGCAAAGTGAGGTCTAGAGTCCTTTCCAATTCTGAGTATCTGTGATCTCATAATGTAATTAAAGTCTGAGGATTCAAGATAAAATCTTGTCAGTTTATCAATTATATTTATTATGTGTCTAGGATAGTGCTTTGCACCATGTGTCCACAAATGTATAAAACATGGTCATTGCCCTTGAATTGCATATGACTGTAATTAAAAGGACAAGATAGTATCTAAAACAATGTAAAATATAAAAGACTATATGTTTTAATTCAGAGTTAAACTGAACTGTACACATTCTTTTTTTTTTTTTTTTTTTTGAGACATGGTCTCACTCTGTTGCCCGGGCTAGAGTACAGTGGTATCATCATAACTCACTGCACCCTCAAATTCCTGGGCTCAAGTGATCTTCCTGTCTCAGCCTCCCAAGTAGCTAGGACTCCAGATGCGCCACTATGCCCAGCTAATTTTTCTGCTTTTTTATAGAGACACAGTCTGAGGTCTCGATACATTGCCTTGAACTCCTGGCCTCAAGCAACCCTCCCACTTTGGCCTCGAAAAATGCTAGGATTACAGGCATGAGCCACCATGCCCTGCTGAACTGTACTGATTTTAAGTACAGTAAGAGTTTAGATTGGGGCAAATCAGACATATGTGCTATATTTTAGGAAGGCAGATTTCAACAAATTCACATAAAATGAATTTTAACATCTGAGAGGAAGCCATTAGTAGTTCAGGCTTGGCCTGGATAAAACACTCAGCAATGATTTTCTGATAATTCAACCCCAAATGACCCTTATGAAGAAGAGGCCACACAGGAACCACTTTGATGAGCTCATATGTGTACAAGGCAGAAAGGAAGCCACATAACCAAGGATGACTATAGATGAGAGGTACAGACCCGCTCCCATATCTCATACACCATGACAGCAATCCACAGGTGCAGGTGCTTTGTATAAGACTGGCTTGTGTACCCTGTGAGGTGAGAGGGCACCTCTCTGTGCTTGTTTTGTAGGTGAGAACGAAAGGTCAGATAGAAGGTCAGCTTTCTGGCCTCAGGTACCCTCGACTTTTCCCTCTACCACCCTGCTTCTCAGAATGAAATGTGCCGAGGAAATTGCCCCCAGGCTCAGAGAAAGAAAGCATAAGAAATAAGGAAGGCCCAGGTCTGTTACCACATAATGGTGAGGAAGCTGAAGAACTGAGGGCCTGAGTTTGCTTTTGTCCAGAAGGATGCCCACCTAGAAAGGATGTCACAATCCCCTTGTTCCAGTTTCTTCATCAGCCAGCTGTGTGATGGGGACAAACAACTTGACTGTTTCTTCTTTAGTTTCCTCGTCGTTAAAAATGGTACAGTGGTGCCTGTCCTTTCTCCTGCATTATGTTGTCTGAAGGATCAAATTAGGTAATGTAAGTTTACACTCTTTAAAAATGCTTAACTGGGCCGGGCGTGGTGGCTCACGCCTGTAATCCTAGCTCTCTGGGAGGCCGAGGCGGGCGGATTGTTTGAGCTCAGGAGTTCGAAACCAGCCTGAGCAAGAGCGAGACCCCGTCTCTACTAAAAATAGAAAGAAATTAATTGGCCAACTAAAAATATATAGAAAAATTAGCCGGGCATGGTGGCGCATGCCTGTAGTCCCAGCTTCTTGGGAGGCTGAGGCAGGAGGATCACTTGAGCCCGGGAGTTTGAGGTTGCTGTGAGCTAGGCCAACGCCACGGCACTCACTCTAGCCCGGGCAAAAGAGTGAGACTCTGTCTCAAAAAAAAAAAAAAAAAAAAAAATGCTTAACTGTTGAATAATTGTGAAGAGTTTTTATTAAAGGAAGCTTCTGAGGTCAATAGAGCCTATACAAAAAACTTCTGAATTCTTCATGTATTGCCTTCCTTCAGTAGGTAGATGATACCTTTTTTTTTCATTGCTGTTGATAAGGGATGAAAATTACTGCTAGTTATTTTGTCTACTGTGACATATGCTAATCACGACAATGAAGGCCACAGAGCATAATGGTTAGATCATGGTCTTCGGAGCCAGACTGCCTGAGTTTGAATCCTGGCTCCACCTCCAGTCACTAGCAGTTTTATTTCAGGCAAGTTATTTAACTTCTTTGTGCCTTAATTTTATCGTTTGCAGAATAGGGTTGTTTTGAGGTTGAATAATACATGTAAAGCATTTAAACTGTACCTGGCACACACAGTAATCAATGTGTTCAATAAATATTAGCTACTGTTATTTTTATTCAAGTATTAAGGGTAACAGATAGGGAGTAGAAGGCAACATAGCATAGTGGTTAAGAGCACAGGTCTAGAGTCAGACCTGAGTTGACATCCTGGCCCTTTCACTTGCCCGTTGTGTGACGCTGGGTGAGGTATTTGACCGAATCTGAGCCCTGGTGTCTTTATGTATAAACTAGAGTAATAATCTCTACCACACAGAATTATTGTGAGGATGAAATAAAATAGTGCATTTGAAGAGCTCAGCACAGTGCTGGGGTAAGGGCTCCAAGTACTGTCACTGAGAGTGCATTTTTAGATTACTGACAAGTACCAGGCGAGTTTATTCATGCTAAACTTTTACAACAGGCGGCTTTGACAGTGCTGTCTTGATACCTTCTTACCAGAATCATCTGAACCAATGATATCCTCAGCCTGGGGCATTCAGGAATCTTTGTAATATGTCTCCAACCTGTTTTTCTAGCATTCTCTCTCCCTACACATAGCCACATGTTTTAGTCAAATTAGATTATTTAGATTACTTGCTATTCCCCACCTTTGTGTCTTTGCTTGTTCTGTTTTCTCTGCCTGAAATGTTGTACCTACCTACCCAATCTCCTCTTACATATGTCAAAAGTCCTACCTTTTAAAAATATTGTTTTCTTCCTGAAGCTTTTTCTGATCCTTTCCTCAAATCAAAATGATGCAAGGGGTGTACCAATGAAGGGAAGAAAGTCTCCTGAACTTGCCACATGGGTTCTTGGCTTCACATTGGAAAGAATTCAATATCGAGCCAACTAGCTACAAGAAAGTTTATCGACAAAGAGACAGACAACAGATCCTACTCCACAGACAGAGTAGGGATCTTTTCCTCAGCAGGAAAGGGACACCTTATGGAGCAATGGTAACGTTTTTATGTATCCAAAAATCCCGTACGTGATCAGCATTGTCCTGAGGTCAGACCATAAAGGTTAGTCATAAACTGCTGTCATAGAAAGGTAAACACGGGCTGGGCATAGTGGCTCACACCTGTAATCCTAGCATTCTGGGAGGCAGAGGTGGAAGGATCGCTTGAGCCCAGGAGTTTGAGGTTGCTGTGAGCTAGGCTGATGCCACCGGGTGACACAGTAAGACCGTGTCTCAAAAAAAAAAAAAAAGAAAAGAAAAGAAAAAAGTAAGCACAAATAGTTTGTAAGGCGAACTGTTTGTAAATTTAGTAATTTGTCCATCCTTGAGTGGTCCTGGGTGGCCGACTTGCTGGCAACTTCCTTGTTCAGGGTGGTTAGGGTCTGGTATCGGCCAAAATGGCTGCACTCAGGCTCTCTCAGCCTTCCTTTTCTGCCTCATCCCGACATTAAAAACTCCTCCTTTGAGGACTGTAATAAATGTTTTAGTGTATCTCTTAAAGCCTTTGTCACAATATTATTCTATATTTCACCCAATCTGGGAGGTCGTTGATTATAAAATACCATTATTTTGCATTATCAATAAGAAAGCAAAAAATGCTACCAGTTAAACAGACATATCATGGATTATAAGATGCATCACAACCTTAGAGATGATAAAATGTGAAAAAATGTATGCCTTAGAATTGATGACTTATGGTAGTTCTTTGTGAATATTTCTGATTCATACCCTCCCACTGGATGGTGATTTCCTTGCGTGCAGGGAGGGACTATGATCTACCCATAGTTGTTGGTACCTGGCACCTAAGAGGCACTCAATAAGTATCTGTGTGGGTTTACTAGCCCTCACACATTCTCTCAGGTTGTCTAGACTTTATGGTATTATTAGAAGAGTTAGTGTCCTCAACTGTTGACCCTTTGAATCATTTCTGGCCTCTGGCTTCTGGACAAGAGGAAATTGGGACCAAGAGCTAACTGACCAGTGGATCTTGACCGAATGCTCTGCCAAGGTGTGGTGGTTGAATGGAATTTGCAATCAAATGCAATTCTTAGCCATTATTTTTCTCCTCAACACATACTCAGTGTTTCATAATGGACGTTTACTTTCCTGGCCATTAGCAGACCTCATCATTTTGGTTCCTAATTGTCTTTTTGTCTTGTCTCCTGTTTAGTATATACGACCTCGCATTTAAGCCCGATGGAACTCAACTGATTTTGGCTGCAGGAAACAGATTACTGGTAGGATTTTTTCTGAGTTTCCTTTTTAAGTGCTTTTTTTCCCCCCCTCCCTCTTGTACGCACTCTGAAATTTGACTCTTTTTTTTTTTTTTTTTTGAGATAAAAAAGGCAAGGGAGAAAAACTAGTCATTACTTTTTAATAGGGAAGGAAAAGGGCTATTTAAAACAGGTAAGTAAACTGTCTATCAGATAGGAACCTGTGAACAGTACTTCCTTTGGAGTCATTAATCTTTCCCTTTTTACTTTGAGACACCCATGAAAGAATTAAAAACAATTAATCAAAATGCCTTTAAAACTGGACTGGTGTCGGTTCACATTTTGTCCCCAGAAAAATTCAAGCAACAGAACTGAAGGCACTCCCTCCATGAAAAGCCAGTTAGCCTGACCCCAACTTTTAGGCATTGGCCTACCTAAACAATTCCATATGGATACTGTCCTATTTTTCATATTTTCAAAGAACATAAGGTCCCTCTGGAACCTATCCCAGTGTATAAAAGTAATTTTCAGAGAACTCTTTGTTTGACCTAAAAACCTTTGTGTGATCACTTCTTCCTCCTGCGTAAACCCACTTCCTGTTCTCTGTTGTCTCTAGATATGCAGACTGACTGATCTCCATTCTCTATATGGTAACTGCATAATCTTAAAACCATGGTTCAATTGTTCCACAGACTGCTTCTCTCCAGGGTAAACAATCCAAATCCTTTTAGTATTTCTTCATAGATTATCTTCTCCAACACTCTATCCGTTTTGGAAAGTTTCGCCTTATTTCTCAGATGGTGTGTTTTTTAAATCTCCACATACTGATGGATGTTACACAGCTATCACATGTCCTAAATCCACATTACAGATGTTTTATAACACTCCCTCCTACTTGCACCCAGAGTTCAGGTCTGTGACTTTTAAACTGTTGGTAGCATATATGAAACATCTCTCTATGATGTTGATATCAGGGGGTGGGCTAGCACTAAAATTTAATCATGTTGTAGCTGGCTCTTTGTATGTTCTGGTTTATTTAGGAGGGCCAGCCTAGATTGGTCATATATCCAAATTCATATAAGAATGAGTGAAGTTTGTAGAGCATTTCCATGGACTAAGTAATCAAACCTTTGATTCTCGAGGATTAATGGTCTGTTCCTGTTCACATAGTGCATAGAATTGGGACCTCCTCTTCTTGGTTACCCAACTTTAAGTCATGTTCTCTCTGGTTTTGCAGTGCTGTTTTTCTTTGATACAAATTTAGAATATTGACAAATGTTTTTTTATAAAAACAAAAAGAGCAGTAGCAACACTGCAGGAATCCTGACTAATAGGTATTACATGGATAATCTGTACTTTTGTCTGTTTTTTGCCAGGTTTATGACACATCTGATGGCACCTTACTTCAGCCCCTCAAGGGACACAAAGACACTGTGTACTGTGTGGCATATGCGAAGGATGGTAAGAGGCTGTTCTGGGTTTCCAGTCTTTGTGATGGCCTCATAAATGTTCATTTTTCTCTTTAGCCACTCTTTAATTATTTTTAGTAAGCCAAAATACAGCTTGCAGATTCAGAAGATAGTGAAGTTGTTTAGACTTCAGTTCAACCATTCAGTTCAACAGGTATTTATTGAGGGCCATCTGTGTGCCAGGCACTGTTTAAGGTGCTTGAGATACATCAGAGAAAAAACAGACAAAGGTCCCTCCCCTTATGGGGCTACTATGTTCTATAGGGTGGGGTAAGGGGAGGAATGAGGGAGGAACAGTATACGAGGAAAGACATACAGTAAACATAGTAAATAGGTAAATTAAGCAGTATGCTGGAAGGCAACAAGTGTTATGGAAGAAGAAAAAGTAGAGCAGAATAATGGGATTTGAGAGTGCTGGGGAGGGACAAGGGCTTGGGTGCAGTATTGAGTAGGGTAGTGAAGGTGGGTCATTGAGATGGGACAGATCAGCAAAGACCTGAAGTCAGGGGGCAGTGAGATTCTGGCAGTGGGCATCTGGGGGAACAGAGCTCCTTGCAGAGGGAAGAGCCATTGCAGAGGCCCTCAGGTGGGAAAGTGCCTACTAGGAGCTGGGGCAGAGAGAATCAGAGGGAGTTGTAGGGTGTGAGGATAAAGAGGTAACAGACGTGGGTAGCCAGACCATGTGGGCCATCATAAGGACTTTGGCTTTGGTTCTCAGTGAAAATAGGGAACCACTGAAAGGTTCTCAGCAGAGGAGAGATCTGATTTTATTTATAAATTAAAAGGATCTTTTCCTTCTTGGCCAACATGGTGGCTCATGCCTGTAATCCCAGCACTTTGGGAGGCCAAGGCAGGGGGTTGCTTGAGGCCAGGAGTTTGAGACCAGCCTGGGCAACGTAGTGAAACCCCCATCTCTACAAAAAATTTTAAAAAATAGGCAGGTGTGGTGGTGTGTGCCTGTAGTTCTAGCTTTTTGGGAGGCTGAGGTGGGAGGTTCCCTTGAGCCCAGGAGTTCAAGGCTACAGTGAGCTATGATTGCACCACTGCACACCAGCCTGGCCAACAGAGTGAGACTCTGTCTCAAAAAATAAACAAATAAACAAACAAAAAAATAAAAAGATCCCTGTATCTTCTGTGTTGGAAATAGCCTGCAAGAGGTGAGGGTTAGGGCAGGGAGATGAGTGAGGAAGCATCATCTAGGCAAGGGGTGATGGTAGCTCAGACTTTGTAGGGGCAGAGGAAGTGGTGAGAAATGGTCAGATTCTGGTTATATTGAGAGGTGGAGCCAGTAGGATTGCCTGACAGATTGGATATGGGGTGTGAAGAAGAAGGAGACAAGGATGACACCAGGGTTTTTGACCTGGGTGACTGAAAGGACAGAGTTGCTCCTCACTGAGATGGGAAGGGCTGCAGGAGAGAAAGCTTACAGTGGAAGATGAGCAGTCCACTTTTGGACATGTTGTAGCTGAGAAAAGTCGACAGTGTAGGAGACAGGGGAAAGAATTGCTGGATCAAAGTTGTTGAGTGGGCAAGAGGATATGGGATCTAGGGCATAGGTGGGGTATTTGCTTTAGATAGGGGCATGGTAGGAGCTGCAGAGGCCAGCAGGTGGGCAGTGTGGTAGCAGGAGTCTAATGGAAATTCCATTTTTTCAGTGAAGTAGGAAGCAACATCAACTGAGAGTGAGGATGGGGAAGGAGGTATTCGTGAGTTGGGAAGAAAGGAAAAAGTGTAAAATCATTGCCTAGGACAGTGGGACAATGAGTAGACCCAGGAGGTATAGTGAGACCACTGGTGACATGAAGGGCCCACTCGAAGGTTGTAATCATGAATCGAAAGTGAGATCAGTTGATATGATTGTCTTTTTCTCTAGCCACTTTGAGAGCTGCATAGATAAAGGGGTGGAAGAAGTGGATTTAACCAGAGGTGGTTTTGCAAGCAGTCTGAAGGTAAAGTGGGAGGAGCAGAGGGTATATACGAAGGAGTTATTACATACATTGACCTTAAAACATTGGCTCAGTGATGAGGGGAGAGAAAACCACAATGGAGAAGTAGTAGGTTCTGATGAGATTGAAGGATTATTGCAGTTGGAGCACCAGGCAGGTTGAGAGGGAGGGGAGGTGGTGGTTAGAGAATGAGTGCATGAAATTGAGAGTTAAAAATGAATCCATCCTACTCCACAGTGTGGGATTAGTGGGAAGAACACAGGTTTTGAAGTGAGACAGTCTGAGTTCCAGCCCTAGCCCAGCACCACGAGCTCTGTGAGTTTGAGCTGATTGCTGAGTCTCTCTGAGTCTGTTTCCTCATGTGTCAAATGGATATAGCATTAGAGATAACATTCTGTGGCCACTGCTGAGAAGTCACAGAGTCTGGATGTTATAGTGCGTGAAGGATTCTTGGAGAGTATTCAGGCCTCAGGTTTTTAACTTTTTTTGGATGACAGACCTCTTTGAGAATCAGATGAAAGCTACAGACCCCTCTCTAGAAAAATGCACATAATTTGTGTAGATGTAAAATTTCATGCATGGAGTTTTAGTCTGATTTAGCCCAATCTCTTCACTTGAGACCTACATGAAGACCTAGAGAAATCAATTGACTTGCTAAGGTCATGTGGCAGTTGGCCCAAAGATAACACTAATGTCCTGCTTCCTCGTCAGCTGTGTTATGCCATGATAGTCACATTTTATGTGTGTGTTTGAGTTCAAGTTCACAGTAATGTGGTGGGGAGACCTGTCAGGAGGGAGCCTGAAAAGCTGAACTGTTTCTGTTTTATCATAATGGCCTTTGAGGAACTTGGGCTGGGCCAGTCCAGGACCTAATACAAGACCCAGTAGGTACATAAGGGCTGTTGGGCCTCTGGAGTTCATAAGTGTAGAGGGGCTCTTTGACCTGCGACACCATTAGGGCACAGTCAGAATACGACCTGCCAGCAGTGGCATCTGCACAGCATTTCGCAGAGTCCCGACATGCACATCTCGTTTGATCTTCCCAAGAATCCTCTGAAGGAGGTAGTGAGGGGACTCTTATCTCTTCTCAAAGTTGAGAAAACAGGCTTGGGGTAATTACAGGTGACAGTGGCCAAGCTGGGCCTGACCCAGGTCCTCTGACTGCAGAGCCGCCATTCTTCCTAGTATACCATGCTATATGATGATTAAGAAGTCTTATAATTCATCTAAACTGGGCTTTTCCCCTTAGACTGAAAACTGAGATACTTTGAATTATGGTTTTGTTCTTTAAGTCTGCTTATATTCTGATTTCTCCCTTAAGTTCAGTAAGTATTTAATAAGCAACCATGGTACAAAAGTGGGTAAGATGTAGTTTTTTTACTCAAGAAAAATAATATAAAATAATATGAAGAATTACTATATAATAATAGCTAATTTTTTAAAGCATTGATTCTATTCCAGGCACAGTTGTGAGCAATATATGTACAGTTGACTATTGAACAACATGGGAGCTAGGGGTGCTGATCCCCCGCACAGTTGAATATCTGTGTATAACTTTCGACTTCCCTAAAACTTAACTACTAATAGCCAACTGTTAAATAGAAGCCTTATCGATAACATAAACAATTGACTAACGCATATTTTGTATGTTATATGTATTATATACTATATTCTTTCAATAAAGTAAGCTAGAGAAAAGAAAATATTGTTAAGAAAATCGTAAGGAGGAGAAAATACATTTACTGTTCATTAAGTGGAAGTGGATCTTTGTAAAGGTCTTCATCCTTATTGTCTTCATGTTGAACGGACTGAGGAGGAGGAGGAAGAGGAGGGGTTGGTCTTGCTGTCTCAGGGGTGGCAGAGGCAGAAGAAAATCTGAACCTGCACAGTTCAGACTTGTGTTGTTCGAGGGTCAACTGTATATATATATATATATATATATATGCGCGCGCGCACACACACACACACTGTCTCATTTACTTTTCACATCAACTATGAGGTCAGTACTATTATTGTTTCCATTTTTTAAATGAGGAAATGAAAACATAGAGATGTTCGGTAGCATGTTCCAGGTCGTGCTGCTGGTCAGTGACGTCACTAGGAATTCTGACCTAGCAATTCTGAGTCCAGAGCCCATACTTTTCATCACCTGCTGTCTACCAGTATGAAAGAGGAGTGACAGAAATAATAAGTAAGAGCAGCTTCCATTTGTTTAATATTTGCAGCAATGTCCTGTGGTTCACACTACTACCTAATGTTTCAGCCACTGTGAAAAGTATTTTACTGATATTGCCTTAGTTGGCTCTCACAAAGAGCCTCTGAGGAAGGTATTATTATGGCTCTGTGTTTCAGTTGAAAACATTTGAGGCTCAGAGAACAGTGACTGGCCCTAAGAATAAAGTCTAAAAATCCTTAACAAGGTACAAAATCTGGCCCGTGCTTACCTCTTAATCCTCATCTCTCACGAGGGAAGGTGAAGGCTTCCTATTGTTTGCTGCCATGATACCCCGATCCTCTTTCTAATGCTTGTAAACCTGTAACAATATAATTAATAAGCAATTACTTGGTATATGTTGACTCTCTCCAGTCCATTCTTTCATAAAGGCTATGTAGTGTGAAAATGGAAATATGACGTTTAAAGCCTTTCTTTGGCTTTCCATTGCTCTGGGATAGAGAGCAAGATCTCTACTGTGACCCTGAAGCCCCTAGAGACCCTTCTGCCACCCATCTCTTTTCCATACTGGCTGCTTATCCCCTCAAACATGCTGGGATTTTCCTGCTTCAGGGCCTTTGCACATCTGTCCTGTCCATGTGGATGGGTCTTACTCCTCTCTTTGCATCTGCCTAAGCTCTGCCCATCATTTAGGTATCCATGGAAGAACCTCATCCTCAGAGAAGCTTTACCTCATCTAATTAGGTCCCCTAGGAGATATTGACCAAAGGGTACAAAGTTTCAGTCAGACAGGAGCAGTAGGTTTTTGAGATCTATCGCACAGCATAATGATCATAGTTAATAATAGTGTATATTTCAAAGATGCTGAAAGAATAGATTTTAAATGTTCTCACTATAAAAAAATAAGTATCTGAGGTGATAGATATGTTAATTAGCTTAATATAATCATTCTATAGTGTGTACATATACCAAACATCACATTGTAATTCATAAATATATATAATTATTATTTGTCAAATAAAATAAAAATTTAAATAAAAAAGTAAATTAGGTCCCCCTTATTCTCTTTCATAGAATCCATGTCTTTTCTTACCACATTGTATTTGCATTGGATTAATTTAATTTAACACCTATTTCCTCCACTAGACTAAACTTCTTGAAAGTAGGGACCATATGAGTTTCAGTCATTACTTGATCCTTAGCATGAACATGATTCCTGCACGTAGTAGGCCCTCAATACATCTTTGTTTACTCAGTGCTGGACAGAGCAGGTTTGGAACCCAAACATCTTGATTCCAGAATACTGCCTCCCAGGACTGATAAGAAGTAGTAGAGAGGAAGCTGACACTTATTAGGTACTTTAAAGAGCTAGTTTTCTAAGAAATTATTTCTGGGAAATGCTTTTTAAAATAAATGTGAGAATTTTCTTTTTAAAAACACTTTTAGGTCAGCGCTTTGCTTCTGGATCAGCTGACAAAAGTGTTATTATCTGGACATCAAAACTGGAAGGCATTCTGAAGTACACGTAAGTAACCATTTAGGTGTATAGTATTGTTAGTTTGACTCTTACTGAGTAATTGTAGCAAAAGCCCCTTAGAAAAGATGTTAGGGGGCCAGGCGTAGTGGCTCATTCCTGTAATTCTAGCATTCTGGGAGGCCAAGGCAGGAGGATCACTTGAGGCCAGGAGTTTAAGACCAGTCTGAGTAACAAAGTGAGACTCCATTTCTACAAAGTATTTAACAATTAGCTGGGAGTGGTGGCACATACTTGTAATTCCAGCCACTCAGGAGGCTGAGGCAGGAGGATTACTTGGGTCTGGGAGTTTGAGGCTGCAGCAGGTTATGAAGATGCCACTGCACTCTGGTGCCACTAGCCTAGGCTGGGGGGTGGGGGGAGAGAAAGAAAGAGAAAAAGAAAAGATGTAAGGAAAAACTTTTTTCTTTGAAGTTGAACTTGAAATTATGTTATTGGGGGTGGGGGTGGTATCTAGGAAAGTCGGGTAGTGAATAAGCGAATGAATATTTCTTGAGCACTTACTAGGTTAGCCAGTACAGCACTGGGCTAGGTATTTTCATATAGCTCATCTCAGTTAATCTGACATCACAGATTCCACCCACCTTCAACCTGTCCTCTTCCAATGTCCCTGTCTCAGGGAATGGCCTTACATCCACCCAGTGTCAAAAGCCAGAAACTTAGGGTCAGTCTGCTCCAGGCCTTTTCTCACTGTAGGGGCCCTGTTCATGTTCTTCCCCTGATCCTCCACTAGTTAGCCCCTACTTACCCTGCAGATCTCAGACTTAGACGTTGCTTTTTCTGCAAAGCCTTTCCTGCCCCTCTAGACTCAGGTGAGTCTCCTTTGTGGCATTTCTTACATTTCTAGTTTTGCATTTATTCTGGTGATTGATCAGCATTGCCTACCAGACTGTAAACACCGTGAGGGTGGACACGGTATCTGTTTTTTGCTCACTCTTATGTCCCTGGTACCTAGTGCAATGCCTGGCCATAATAGGTACTCGACAAACAATTTTTTTTCTTTTCTTTGCCTTTTTTTTTTCCTTTTTGAGATAGCGTCTCGCTCTGTCATCCTGGCTAGAGTGCAATGGTGTCATCCTAGCTCACTGTAATCTCAAACTCTTGGGTTCAAGTGATTCTCCTGCCTCAGCCTCCCGAGTAGCTGGGACAATAGCTGTTTGTCACCATGGCTGGCTGATTTTTCTATTTTTTGTAGAGATAAGGTTTCGCTTTTACGCAGGCTGGTCTCGAACTCCTGAGCTCTAGCGATCCTCCTGCCTTGGCCTCCCAGAGTGCTAGGATTACAGGCATAATCCACCATGCCCAGCTTCTTTTCTTTTAAATTGTGGTAAAATATACATAACGTACAATTTATCATCTTAACCATTTGGAAAATTTACAGTTCAATAGTGTTAAGCATATTTATATTGTTGTGCAATCACCAAAACTCTTTTTATTTTGTAAAGTTAAAACTCTATACCTTTTAAACACTAACTCCCCTTTCCTCTCTCCTGACAAGCCCCTAGCAGCCACCATTCTATTTTCTGTCTGTATGAATTTGACTGTTTTAGGTACCTCATATAAGTAGAGTCATACACTGTTTGTCTTCTTGTGACTGGGTCATTTCACTACTGTAATGTTCTCAAGGTTCATCCATGTTGTAGCACGTGTCAGAATTCCCTTCCTTTTTAAGGCTGAATAACATTCCATTGTATGTATAGACCACATTTGTTTATCCATTCATCTGTTGATGGGCACTTGGGGTGCTTCCACCTCTTGTTATTGTGAATAGTGCTGCTATGAACATGGGTATGCAAATCAACAGACAATTTTTGAATGAATCAATAACTGAATCAATGAGTGAGGTTGTGAGTAAAGTGTTACCCAGAAGGGGTAAAACTGGGGCTGAGACACCATGACTTGCTCAGTTTTTATTGTTGTCTAAGCATTTGCCACGTTTCCAGATCATGGCCTGTAATGTCCTCATTGCACCTCCATCCTGTAATTTCAGGCCTCCTCAAAACAGTAAGAGTAACAGCACTTGCTCTGTACCTGGCACTAGGCTAGGTGCTTTACGTCATTATCTCCTCAGCTCACAAACTGGAGGTGTACAGCATGACAGTCCAAGAGGAGGCGCTGTTAAAGCTGGGCCAGGATGATGGGTGGTAATGAAAATGGTAGGAGAGGGGCCATCCAGGAGAAGGAGAATTAATCCCTGTGCTTTTTGTTGGTCACTTGCCGAAGAGCATGTGGTGTATAGTAAGAGGCTATGGGCTTATCCTTAAAATCCTCAGTTGTAGCCACTCAGACATTTGTGGTTTGCTGCATAATAATCTACAGTTGTTTACTTCCCAGGCACAATGATTCTATACAGTGTGTCTCCTACAATCCCGTTACCCACCAACTGGCATCTTGTTCCTCCAGTGACTTTGGTAGGTTCGGATTCTTGATGTCCTGTCCTGTAATAACTGAAAACTTAGGCTAAAAATGCTGAAATCTGTCCAGAATGTGGTGATTTTGTCCTGAGAGAGTTAATACTACTTATCTACATTCAAAGGCTGAGGGGAGGCTGACAGTTATTCTTTAAAGTGTGTAGAAACCAAGATAGTGAATAATGACCTTGACTCTCATAAGACATCAGAGACAACAAGAAAGGCCCCAGAGAAGGAAACGGTAAGAAGTATGGGAGGGCACAGGCATAACTTTATGTTGCTGCCTCTGGGAAGTCTTCCCTGACTCACTCTGGCAGGGACAGTTCAGTTGTCCCCAACTTTGTGTTGATCCACATCCATGTATATGTGAAATTCTTCACTGTTTCAACTACTTCATGCACAAAAGTCATCAGTACTGTTCTCCCTGAGGGTCGAACACCTTGAGGAGTTCATCCTGGCCCCATTCACGGCACTGGCATGGTGCTGGCACAGAGGAGATGTCAGTAAGATGTCTGCTGAGGGTGGGAGGGAGTGAAATGGGCAGAGGCTTGTAGGTTGTCTGCATTAAAGGTTGGTTCTGATTTTCAACTCCATCAGTTCTGTCTTCTTTGCTAAGAGATAGTGGGTACAATGGAACAGCTGTTAGACAAGGAGTCCGAGACCTAGTCCCTCTCAGTATTTCAGCTTCCTTATCTAAAAGGAACCTGCTACCCACCTTGTCTATCTCACTGATACAGTTCTGAGGTTCAAAGTAGAGAATATAATTGAAAGAACATTGTATGAACAAATGGAGAAAGGACTGTCATTTATTTTAAAAATTTAGCATTTTCTTCATGTGAAGTACTAGTCTGTGTGCTTACATTAGAGGATTAAAAAGACAAAATAGAATCCCTGCTCTCAAGGGGCTTGTGGTCTTGGGAGGAGGTAGGATTTGTAAAAATATAATATTAAGTAATAATAATATTTGTTGAATGCTTGCAGTATGCTAGGCACTGCGCTATGGGTTAAAAATGAATTCCTATTTGTGCGCTGTGACAACCCCCGAGGTCAGGTATTATTCTCTTTCCCACCCTAGTGATGAGAAAGAACTGGGATTTGGGGCAGTTCAGTGACTCACTGGAGGTCACATGACCAAAAAATGGTAGAACTAGGGCTTGGACCAAGCCCAGGCGATTGCATTGCTGAAGGAGGCCCAGGAGGGAGGGGTTTTCTCCAGCTGGAGGCTCTAGGTAGGCTCTGTGGAGCACAGATAACATGTGCACAGGTTGAAATGTCTGGGGAGGCATTCTGGACCAGGGAAAATAGGGGAAATATAACTTGCCCGATGTTGCACTTGGCTATATAAATATGTTTGTGCACTAGAGCTACCTTCTTGATCGTGCTTCATGGCTCAGCAAAGAGTAGAATTTGCTTATTTTATCTAGACATACGCTTGTTGCTATGGGGCACTGAGCCAGGGCATCTGGGGCAGGAGGCAGCAAGCCTTAGGCAACCAGTATGCCGTGGACACGGCACAGCTCAGGATCCTGTGTTGTAGGTGAGGCCTGAGAGAGGAAACTAGATTTTCAGAGAGTATCATTACTTTAAATGCTAGTTGTATTTTGGTTGCAATTTCGTAGTGACAAAGTGAAATTGTCATTTTTTTTGAGAGTTAAATTCCTGAAAAGTTGGCTAGAATTTTATCAATCTATCTTCTTTTTTTTTCTTTTTCTTTTGAAAGAATTATAGATTCACAATAAGTTGCAAAAATAGTATAAAGCAGAGAGGTCTCCTGTACTTTTCATCCAGTTTTCCCCAATGGATACGTCTTATGTACCTATTGTACAATAACAAAACCAGAAAACTGGGCCTAGCACATGTGTATATAGTTCTGTCATTTTATCACATGTGTAGATTACCACCACCACAACACAGAACTACTCCATCAGCACACAGATACCTCTTGTCATCGCACCCACTCTCCTTATCTCCTGTTATCCCCAACCCCTGGTAACCATGAATCTGTTCTCTGTTTCTATACTTTTGTCATTCAAGAATGTTATATAGGGGCCAGGCGCAGTGGCTCACGTCTGTAATCCTAGCACTCTGGGAGGCCGAGGCGGGCGGATTGTTTGAGCTCAAGAGTTCGAAACCAGCCTGAGCAAGAGCGAGACCCCGTCTCTACTAAAAATAGAAAGAAATTAATCGGACAACTATATATAGAAAAAATTAGCCGGGCATGGTGGCTCATGCCTGTAGTCCCAGCTATTCGGGAGGCTGAGGCAGGAGGATCGCTTGAGCCCAGGAGTTTGAGGTCGCTGTGAGCTAGGCTGACACCACGGCACTCTAGCCCAGGCAACAGAGCGAGACTCTGTCTCAAAAAAAAAAAAAAAAAGAATGTTATATAGGGCCGGGCATGGTGGCTCACGCCTGTAATCCCAGCACTCTGGGAGGCTGAGGCGGGAGGATCGCTCGAGGTCAGGAGTTCGAGACCAGCCTGAGCAAGAACAAGACCCTGTCTCTACTAAAAATAGAAAGAAATTGGCTGGACAACTAAAAATATATAGAAAAAATTAGCCGGGCATGGTGGCTCATGCCTGTAGTCCCAGCTATTCGGGAGGCTGAGGCAGGAGGATCGCTTGAGCCCAGGAGTTTGAGGTCGCTGTGAGCTAGGCTGACACCACGGCACTCTAGCCCAGGCAACAGAGCGAGACTCTGTCTCAAAAAAAAAAAAAGAATGTTATATAAATGGAATCATACAGTATATGACCTTTTGAGATTGATTCTTTTCACTCAGCATAAAGCCCTAGGGATCTATCTAAGTTGTATATATCAATAGTTTGTTCCTTTTTATTGCTGAGTAGTGTTTCAACCAACACATTTTATTTTATATTATTGTGCATCGAAGGATTGTGGTCTCACGAACAAAAGTCTGTCTCCAAGCACAAAGCAAGCAGCAAGATCACCTGCTGCAGGTAAGTGAAGTGTAGCTCTGAAGATAGGCTTTGTCTTCTTTCCTCTTCCAGACTCTCAAAATGCAGTTATTTCACACAATAGAAAAGGTCTTGTGTCAAAAAGGAAAACTGTTTCCTTTTTTCTTCTTTATGGGAAAGACCTGTGCCTTTGATCATTAAGCAAAAGAGAACTACAAGTTGCCTTCATGCAGTTATCTAGCAACAAGCTTCCTCAACATGTAGCTGTACTGAGTGGAGGCTCTCTGGGAATGTGAGACTGTCATTGTACAGGCAGCATGTGCAGGGGAGAAAGCACAGGCTCTGATGCTGGACCTGGATTAGAATCCAGATTCTATTGCTGGCAGGTTTTGTGACCTTGGGAAAGTTATTAAATCTCTCTGAGCTGGAGCCTCAGGTTCCTCGTCTGACAAATGGGGATAAAAATACTGACTTGATCAGGTTGTTGTGAAATGCACATAAACTATTGAGTGTAAAGCATGCAGCACAACACTTGGTGTACAATAGACACTCTATAAATGGGAGCTATTCTTGCTGTTCAGCTTCATTCGACATCTGTTGAGCACCCACTACACATCAAGCCCTACTCTAGAGGCGGGGAAAACACCAAGACAGCGTCTATTCTTAAGGTGCTCTTGAAGTGGTGGGGGGATGAACTGTAGAGTGAGGAGTGGGGGCTGGCCCAGAGATGCAGGCACAAGCTCAGGGCTATCATGGAAGTATGTACAGAGAGTTGTGGGAGCTCAAAAAAAAGGTACTGCTGCCCTCACTTCTCACTATTGACTCCAAAAATAAGTAAGATTTTAAGTTTGGTCTTCTGATATTATGTCAGGACTGGCAATGATGAAACCATAGCTCCACTGTTGCTGCTTCATTAGACTTTGTTTCAAACCAAGGCATCACGCTCGCTAGTTTTACCTTCTATGTGGTCCTCTCCCTCTCCCCATGCCTTTTGTTGTTGTGCGCACAGCTGGACAAATGATGGTCAGTACCTGGCTCTGGGGATGTTCAATGGGATCATCAGCATTCGGAACAAAAATGGTGAGGAGAAAGTGAAGATTGAGCGACCAGGGGGCTCTCTCTCCCCAGTATGGTCCATCTCCTGGAACCCTTCAAGGTACTCTTACAGCTGTCCTTCTTTAAAGACAAACATTGTTATGAAGAAGGGTTTTCTCTCTTCTAAGGTCTCCTTGCATTCAAAGGCTTCTCACTCCACTTGAATGGTCTGTTTTGGAACCTGTTCTATTTGTATGGAATTTTTTAAGAGCCTATCTTGAGTTTTGGAATGAATCCCAGGGATTGAGCTAAACAGATGAGCTATCTAGGCCTGCCCAAAGTGTGTGTGTGTTTGTGTGTGATGTGTGAGCAACATAGGAGGGCCATTTCCTTATTAATTAATAGCTGAGCTTTTTTGCTGTAGCTTTATTTTTGTCTTTTCCCTCTTTCAGTTCTTCCTTCCCAGTCTGGGCAGAATATGTATCCACCTGGAAATAAATAGCTTTTTCCTGAGCCTTTTTTCTGCCCTAGTCAAAAAGTAAAAATTAAGTCTACAAATGTCCATAAAGCCTAGAGGTCCACAAACAACTGGCATCCATCCACCTTCTCAAACCTTATTCACACTTTCCTTTCTATGCCCATGTGACTTTGAGGGTAGACTAATAGCTTTATATGCTCTTTGTGTAATCCTGTGTTATTATTAAACCATCAATATCCCCCACAGAGTCCTCTGAAGGTAAGGGACTTAATTGTTTACCGGTCCAATGTCATTGTACAGGTGGGTGTCTCCTTGATTTAGAAGGTTGTTTAATTCCATTGCCTTTCCTACACCACATTATTATGCTTCTTCCTGAATTAATTTTGTACAGCTCAGGCTGTACCATGCATGTCTAATGCCATCAAAGGCCATTAGTCTATCCTAGAGTTTCTGCTATTTGATTTTGTGGCCACAGATGACTTTGTGGCTTCAGGTTACCATTTTTAATTCATGAGAAACAGGATGCCCAGTGTACTTGGTGGCTATCCTCCTCCGGGTAGGGTTCAGGGGCTCCTTGACAGATTTTAAAATTATAGCTTTAGTGTAGTTTTAGGCAATGTGATTTTGAACAACCACTTACTGTCTATAGCCGGTGGGAGAATTTCTGGATGAACAGAGAGAACGAGGATGCCGAGGAAGTCATTGTCAACAGATATTTTCAGGAAATCCCTTCCACTCTGAAGTCAACAGTATACAGTAGTCAGGGTAGTGAGGCAGAGGAGGAAGAGCCAGAGGAAGAGGACGACAGTCCCTGGGACGACAACTTGTGAGTGTGTCCCAAGGAGCAAGAACTCTCCTTGTAAAGGGCCAGGCCCCACACAGACCTGCTGGGGCAGATGCTGATCTTAAGCTCCTTGGTCAAGGGAAGCAGTGCAGGGGCCAGGGGACTTGTGGGTGAAAGCTCCTCCAACAAAGGGGAACACACCCTTAAAACTTGTGTGTGGGTGATAAAGTGATCCTGTGAGAAACTATAGGAAACACTGAAAAGTCTAAAGGAGAAAGTTCAACTTTTCTGTAAAACACCATCCCCTGAGGAAACGACTATTAGCATTTAAGTGTATTTCCCCTCAGTCTTTTAGTGTGTTCATATAATTAGCTAAATCATATCCTGCTTTTCTTTTCTTCACTTATCATCATAGAGTGAACTCTTTCCAGTAACATTAGAAATCCTTTGAAAAACATGATTTTTTTTTTTTTTTTGAGACACAGTCTCACTCTGTTGCCTGGAGTAGAGTGCCGTGGCGTCAGCCTAGCTCACAGCAACCTCAAACTCCTGGGCTCAAGCGATCCTCTGCCTCAGCCTCCCGAGTAGCTGGGACTACAGGCATGAGCCACCATGCCCGGCTAATTTTTTCTATATATTTTTAGCTGTCCAATTAATTTCTTTCTGTTTTTGGTAGAGACGGGGTCTTGCTCTTACTCAGGCTGGTTTCGAACTCCTGAGCTCAAACGATCCGCCCGCCTTGGCCTCCCAGAGTACTAGGATTATAGGCGTGAACCACCACGCCCGGCCGAAAAACATGATTTTTAATGCCTGCATAAGTATATCCTTGTGTGCATGGCCCATAATTCTTTTAATACTTCCTCTATTACTGGGCATGTTTCTTAGTCTGTTCCCACACTGTACCTTACCTTGCATTTGCTAGAACACATATCAGAGAGGAAACCCTTACCTTACCCACAATCCTCACACCCAAATCCTTTTTTCTCTTCAATCAAGATTACCTGTAGGAGCTGGGTACATGCCTTTTACTTGGGAAGATGACGTGGGAGGATCCCTTGAGCCCAGGAGTTCAAGTCCAAAGTCCAGCAGTCCAGCTTGGGCAACATGGCAAGACCCTGTCTTTAACAAAAAAAACAAAAAAAAAATTTACCCATAGGGAAAACATGGACTGTGTGGAGTGGGGAATGCTCTGGGGGTAGCCAGAATATCTCGATCGGGTAATAGTGATCTAGCTTGGGACTTTCCAAACTCTGTTCTATGGTACCCTGAGGCTCCTTGGAAGAACTCCACCCCAGGGTCATGAAAGGAGGAGGTGTGAGGCATGGCCTTCAGATTTCCATCTGTGCTTCAACCAGAGAAGCACCTTTGATTGTTCAACATGAGTTTTTGTTTGGTAAAGATTCCCACTGCCTCAGGAGAAAAAAAGAGATTGAAACCCACCAATCCAGTACATAGAGTTCGAGCCCAGCTCAGAGCCATATGCGGCTTCCTCAAGAGGGCTCACTATGGGCTGGGCTCCTGGATTGTGTTTGGACTTCAATGCCAGTCACACAGTTCATCTGCAGGCCCCTTCCTGTTAACATCCCTCTCGATCTTTTTCTCTTTTCCCTTAGTTATGAATTAGTGGCTATGACATTTGTCACTTTGGCACTCTTGGCTGTGTTTTACAAACAAGACTGCACCATGTGTGTCTCTCACCTATAATAATCCTAGCTTTTTGGGAGGCCGAGGCTGGAGGACAGCTGCAGCTCAGGGGTTCGACACCAGCCTGAGCACAGTGAGACCCTGTCTCGATACAAGAAACAAACAAACAAAAAAAGGCTGTGGGCTCCGAAAAGCTGGAATTAATAAAGAAGAGGCAACATTAGGTGGATTAAGACCCAGCCTCAAAGGCTGGGAATGCCTTTCTCTTGGACTAGATTCCTAGATCACCTGCTCCCCAGCCTCAAACTGAGGGAGTCTCTCCTGTATGCAAGTCCTACAGTCCCGGCCCCAAGGCACTGATCTCCATAGCTTCCCAGATTCAAAGACAGTTGTTCTTCGGAGAGCCCACTACTCTTTTCTATTGATTCAATCAGAAACCATTTCACCTGTGCGAGGACCCTACCTGCAAGAGAACCTAGTTTTAGGTGTTAATTTTCCCTCTTCATGAAGAACAAGAAAGTTTCCCTTCTGTCCATCAAAAAAACAGACATTCCATGCCTTCCCCCTGCAAATGGTATGTTTCTCTATCCTCTCCCCACATTTTGTAGTACAAGAGTATCACTCCTGGATCTACAGCCTTGCTCTTTGTTAGTGTTGCTCCCCAGAAAGTACTAAAAGAAGGGGTTTATCTTCTTCAGCTGTGACAGTGTCCCAGCACCATAAGCTCATGGCAAGGGATTCATTGAAATAGCAGATCCCAGGAGGACTGCCTCTCTGCTCCATCCCATTGGACTGATTGATGGGTTGAGCCAAATTACAACTTTTGACCTTATTAAAGCTGTACAACATTTGGCAACCTGACAGCCTGGGCAGGGTTTTCTTTTTCCTGTTGTTTGTTAAACCCTTAGGGCTATACTCATCAGCAGGCCATGACCCCTCGTAACTTCTTTTGTCTTCTGTTGATTAGAGAGGAACATAATGACATCATGGCTGTAGCTGACTGGGGACAGAAACTTTCCTTCTACCAACTGAGTGGAAAACAGGTATGTAGCCCCGTACAAACCCAGTTGCAGTGATGCCTGTTGTAATATGTTTTTACTTTCTAAGATTGTATTATTATTAATTATACATTATCATTGTTAGTTCCTGCTTTTTGAGCATTTACCGTGTTACCAAGTACTTCAGTGTTTTGCGTACTTTATCTCATTTAATTCTTATAAAATCTTGTGCAGATGGAGCTGGAGAGGAAGATGGGGATTTGATTGTAAAGAACTGAATAGTGTGAATAAGGAGTTTGAACATCATATACTTTAAGTATTCAGGAGCCATAGATGACAGGGTCAGATTCCTGTTTCAGAAAAATTCCTTGTTTCTGTGGAAGGTGGATTACCATATAGAGAGCGTGGTGGTAGGATGACCTGTTAGTAGGCAGGAAATGCCAAGGATTAGAGTGAAGGTGGTGGGCACATTTGCATCCTACAGCCAGGCAAGTGCGAAATACAGCCTATGCAATGGAGCCTTTCATGTTACAGCATCCTTATTCCTCAAAATATGTCATACTAGAAGGAGGGGGTTCAGGTATGTGTAGATCAGCTTTGAAGTCATTTCTTCTACCCTGTCTTATCATTGGTCATTTCTTTTGTTGTTGAGTAAAGAAAAGATAAATATAGTAGATAATGAAGTGTTTTCTGAGTTTCCCATGGCTGATTTCCCAAAACCCTCATTTTAATTAACTGGCATCTAGTTTCCCTGGCCCTGTCTATTCATCCACTTGAGTGTACATCATCATTCAACAGTATTTATTGACACTCCTATTGTGTACCAGGCTCTAAGTGTGGGTATTAGAGACTTCTGGCAACAAATAACCACACTACACTGGGAGGGATTGGGATCTTGTTGCTATAGTGACTAGTGAAAAAGAGCCCAACTTGGTGGTGAGGGCCATGGAAAATATCTTCCATGTATGCAGCCCCAGAGCTCATGTTGTGGCCCAAAGATTTTGAATGATAAGCAACCTCAGTCTGCTGAGATGGTAACCCCAATTTGGGAAAGTAAATTGTTTTCTTGGTGGGTAAGTGTCTTAACTCTGGGAATATTTAGAATTAAATATAGGATAATGAAGTAAATCAATCTCATACTTTTGTGTTAAGCTTAGGAATAATCTGTGTATTTTTGGCATTTTAAGTGTTTAATATTTAAGAAGATCTGGCTTAATAATAATAGCTAATACTTACTGAGTTCCAGGCATTGTATAAACTCTTTACAAGGATTTACTCTTTTAATCCTTATAACAACCCTCTGAGGTAGGTACTATTATCATCACCACTTTACATGTAAGAAAATTGAGGCACAGAGAGGTTCAGTAATTTGCTTAAGGGCATACAGTTTAGTCTGTGGCCCACCCTGGTTTCGAACCCAGGCAGAATGGTGCCAGAATCCATATTAGAATATCTGTAAGATTAGTCTTATAATGACCATTTAAAAATTGTAATTGAGTAACTAATTTTATACTCTTGATTTTAAATGGAAAGATGTAAGAATTTTTTATTAAGTTCCTAAGCAATATTAGAATTTTTAAGCAATTCATTGCATTTTTCTGCTTGGGGTCCACTGAGCGTTTTGAATCTATATATTTATATCTTTATGTCTCTCACCAAATGTGGAAAAATTTTGGCCATTACTTCTTCAAAAATTTTTCCCCATTCTCTCCTTTCCTTTTGGGACTCCAATTATACTTACAGTAGACTTTTTGATAATGTTCTCCAGGGCACTGAGGTCCTGTTCATTTTTCACTTTTTTTTCTCTCTGATTTCAGAATGGAGGATTTCTGTTGCTTAGTATTCAACTTCATTGACTCTTCTGCCATCTCTAATATTTCTATTAAGCCCATCCAGTGAATTTGTATTTCAGTTATTGTATTTTTCTATTCTAGAATTTCCATTTGGTTCTTTTTTCTTATTTGTTCATTCATTTTTTTCCTTTATATACTTAACCATAGTTACAATGACTGTTTTAAAATTCTTATCTGATAATTCTAACATCTGGGTCATCTTGGGTCAGTCTCCATTACTTGTATTTTCTCTTGAATATGGTTCACATTTTCCTGCTTTTTGAATTTTTTTTAACTGTCCCTTTCTCTGGAGATGCTTTTTGAATTCTAGTATATGTGCTGCTGAAGCGAGCACTGCTTTTTGAATTTTAGATTGTACTCTGGGCATTGAGAATGGTATCATGTCCCTCTGAAGATGTGTGTGTGTGTTTAAGCAGGCAGTTTACTTTGCTGGACTCAGAATTCAAACTCCATGTTTCCAATGGAGGGCAACAGCTGACATGTCTGTGCAATTGTTTAGCCTTAGCTAGGCTGCTTGGTACCTGTGTCACAGGGTATATAGTTCAAGGGTTTCCAGATATCCAGCAGAGTTTATGTGCAGAACTTAGGCCCACTCCACATCTCTTTTCTGGGATTTCCCACCTCACTTTCCAGCTACTGTCATCCTCCAAATTGTGTACTCACCCAGCATGGTGCTGATGAGGCATGCCCTCAGACAAAAAGCCATTAAAAAAAATAAGAATTCTGTTCCCTTCTTCCTAACATGCATGTGTCTTCAGTTTCTACCTGCTTTTGGTTGCCTCAGGTTGTAGTTACTTATAGTTGGTGCAGAGTTTACAGTTGTTACACACAGGAGGGTTGGTTCAGTAGGAACCACTGAACCATTACCAGTAGCTGCCAGCCTTCCACATCATGACTCATGAGTTTTTTTAGTTTTCTTATTAGATTTACTAGCATTGTATAAGTGCTAGGGAAAGTTTTGGCTGCTAGGCATTTGAAATTCCTAAAAAGGAAAGGAAAATTGAATATATTAAACGTGTAATTGCAGTTTAAATTAGTTTAGGGGAATAAACTAAGTTGTAAATGGGACTGAATATTTAAGGGATTTTATGATCTGTTAAAAACTGAATTCATTAAATAGTCAAAGTCAATTGGCTGTTCACTTTTACTAGATTTATAAATAGGAAAATATTTGTAAATTGAACTTAAGATCTTAAGGAGAAACAAGGTTCATGGAGTTATTTCTTTAATAAATTGAATATTAGTTTAATAATGTTAATCATACACAGTCTTTTTATTCACAAAAGATACCCTCATGGGCAGCAAAAAAACTCTAGTGGCAATAAGGAGCTTGGGCTTTAGTGCAGACCTGAAATTAACTCTGTAACTATAGCAGTGAGAGAAGTGCTATAGGAGAGGCGAGCACAGGGGCTGTGGAAACATGGAGTGAGTGGGAGTTTGGGGATGTTTCCTAGAGGAGATGATACGTGGCAAAGAGGGAGAGGAAAAGAGCACTCCTGGCTGGGGGTGGGGTGATGTGGAGAATAGCACCTGTGACGATACAGAGGCCTGAAAGGGCATGGTCCACATGGGAAACTGCAAGAAGTTCCTCTTGGCTAAGAAAAGCATCTTGGGGGCTGAGCTCAGGAGTTTGACCTTCATTCTAAAAGCCAAGGAGACACCATCAAGAAAGTGAAAAGGCAGTGCACAGAATGGGAGAAAATTTTTGCAAATCATGTATCTGATAAGGGACTTGTATCTAGAATAAAGAACTATTACATTGCAATAATAAAGCAACAAATAACCCAATTGAAAAATGAGCAAAAGATCTGAATAGACATTTCTCTGTGGCCAATCGCACGTGAAATGATGCTCAACATCATTAGCATCAGGGAAATGCAAATCAAAACCACAATGAGATACCACTTCGCACCCACGAGGATAGAGAAATTGGAATCCTCATATGCTGCTAGTGTGAATATAACATGGTACAGTCACTTTAAAAAAGTATAGCAGTTCCACAGAAGGTTAAACATAAAGTTACTATATGACCCAGCAGTTCCATTTCTAGGTATATGCTCAAGGGAAATGAAAACATATATATGTCCACACAAAAACTTGTATGTGAATATTCATAGCAGCGTTATTCATAATAGCCAAAAGTAGAAACAACCCAAATGTCCATCACCTGCTGAATGGACAAGTAAAATGTGGTATATCATACAATGGAATATTATTCAGCAATGAAAAGGAAGTAAGTACTGGTACATGCTACAACATGGATGAACCACACACAAAAGGCCACATATTATATGATTTTATTTATATGAAATGCTCAGGATAGGCAAATCTATAGAGACAGAAAGTAGGTTAGTGGTTGCAGAGATGAAGTGAGGGAGGAATTGGGATAGACTACTAACAGGTATGGGGTTTCTTTTTGGGTGATGGAAGTGTTCTGGAATTAGATGATTGCACAACTCTGTGACTATAGTGAAAGCCACTGAATTATACACTTTAAATGGATGAATTATATGGTATGTAAATTATATCTTTAAAACGTCATTATAAAGAGAAGTAGGATGGGCATAGTTACAGAATAAAGGACAGTGTTTTAAACTGAATAAACTCAGCTTTGTAAAATACTTCTTAAAAAGATAGAAAAGAGAAGCTGAGGGGACCCACTGAAGCACAGCAGGAGCTATGTACAGAGGAGGACCTATGGGGGCATGGCCATCCCAGCCTCCAGGTTGGTTGAACAGCTGAAACACACTCCTGGAGCAATTTGGTGGGACTATGGGAGATGCTGCTGACTCTAGGGGTCGAGGATTCAGCTGTGTGGAGGTCTGGAGGAGTAAGGTGATCCAGAGGCAGAGAGGCTCGTGTCTGTGATGGAATGACATAGGAGATAAGGCTGGCCAGCTCTCTGCTGTCTTCCCAGCTGTCCCCATTAAAGTTGGTGAGAAAAGCCCTTAATTGTTTTGAGATTATTGTGGATTCAGAAATGATTTTTTCCTTGGTATGTGTTCTCTTTCCTTAGATTGGGAAGGATCGGTCACTGAATTTTGACCCCTGCTGCATCAGCTACTTTAGTAAAGGGGAGTACATCTTGCTAGGGGGGTCAGACAAGCAAGTATCTCTTTTCACCAAGGATGGAGTGCGGCTTGGAACTGTTGGGGAGCAGAACTCCTGGGTGTGGACGTGTAAAGTGAAACCCGAATCCAACTATGTGGTAAGGAAAGGAAGTTCATTCATTGCAATGAGGATCAGCCATGCGTAGCTAGTCAGATCATTGGTGTTTGTTCCTGACACATGGGAGGGCAGACTCTCCACAGACAGCTGGGAGTTGACAACTCTCTTACTCTGCAGGTGGTAGGCTGCCAGGACGGCACCATTTCCTTCTACCAGCTTATTTTCAGCACAGTCCATGGGCTCTACAAGGACAGGTATGCCTACAGGGATAGTATGACCGATGTCATTGTGCAGCACCTGATCACTGAGCAGAAAGGTAAGATGCCAAGTAGGGCTCCTCTGCGTGCCGGACATTGGGAGGGGGTAGGTTGAGAGAGCTGGTGATGGGGCACTTGAAATGACAGGAAATGTTTCTCCTTGGTCTTCTGAAAACATGATAGTCACTTGGTCTTGGTTTTTATGGTGGGAGCAGGGAGGCTGTTGATCTCTTTGAGGATCTCACAAAAGCAATAAACCCTCTCTCAAAAAAAACAAAAAAAAAGCACTGATTCAAAATTTCACAAATAGTTTGAAGGGGTACATGTACTCCCTGAGTAAGGTAAGGGAAGGTGACTTATAACAAGTCAGAAGCAAGGTGGTTGACCTGCATAGGTTTTTGCCGAGCTTTATCCCTTCTGGTCGGAGTCACTCTGGGGTGCTTCTCTCTCAGCCCAGTCTCCACTTGCTTCCTGGTGGGTCTTTCTGCCAGAGATAAGCAGGAGCCGTGGGTCAGCAGAGGCTCAGTCAGAAGATCCAGGTTCCAGGCCTAGCATAGTCAGTTCAAGCTCTAACCTCAGTCTCTCCCTGTGTCTCCCTAAGTAGCTGAGCTGGTTAAATAGGCTAAGAATTCATTTATTTCAGGTATATTCATATCCAGATGTATTGGCCACAGTGCACTTGGTGGGTACCTTTCCATAGGGATCCAGGTTGGGGGTTGCCTTGCAGATTCAAATGGGCATTCTTTGATCCCATCCGGAAGCACTTCTGAAGATTCCAGCTCTGATGGTGGGGGTGGAGCCCCTTGGGCAGCTCCTCAGTATTCCTTCTGGGACATTTTCTCTACCTGGTCTGTAGTGAGAGTGTAGAGTCAAGGGCTGGGGGAACCTATGGCCTCAAGGCCACGTGTGGCCCTCCAGATCCCCAAGTGGGGCCCCTCGATCAAATTCAAACTTCGCAGAACAAATCCCTTGATTAAAAGGATTTGGTCTATAAAATTTGGATTCGGTCAAAAGGCCACCCTCAAGGATCCATGCCATTACCTACTGTCAGGAGGTGGGTGGGGAGTGGCCAGTGGTAAGGTCAGTCACTTAGGCAGGCTCCTGATTGTCAGGGGCCATTAGTGCTGTTCAGGGGAGTTTGGGTTTATATTCAACAAGTGGTGGTGGCACTGAGGGCTTTATTTTCCATATTCAGTTGTAAGCTTTGGACCACAAAGATTGTATTGTATATGACTTTGGATCCCAGTGCTCAGCAGAGTTGATTGTACACATTAGATACTCTGTAAAGATTTTTTTTAATGAGAGTGTCTCACTTTAATTGCTAGTAGCATTAAGTAAATGATAGCTTTTAATTTCTCTGCCTTTTACCTTACTTAACAACCTCTTGCTAGAGTTGGATTTTTTTTTCTTTGACAGTTCGGATTAAATGCAAAGAGCTTGTCAAGAAAATTGCCATCTACAAAAATCGATTAGCTATCCAACTGCCAGAGAAAATCCTCATATATGAGTTGTATTCAGATGACTCATCAGACATGCATTACCGGGTAAAGGAGAAGATTGTCAAGAAGTTCGAATGCAACCTCCTGGTGGTGTGTGCCAATCACATCATCCTCTGCCAGGTGGGCAGCAGTGTGTTGGAGGGGGCAGGCTGAATTTACTCCATACTCCCTGTAAGAATATGGTACCCACCTCACGGTTTTAAAACTGGTCACTGGAAAACAAGTCCCTTTCCATCAGACTCAATGGCTGTTTGTCAGCTTTCATTTTACTGGCACCTAGATGAATCAGACTGTGTTAGAAAGCCATGGGCCATAAACTGGAGAATACTTTTTTATATTGCAGAACATTTTGTCATACTGGGATTACAATTCACAAAATGAAGACAGGGGTTTTTTTTGATAAGCATATATACATAAAATTTATATCAACTCAGTAATAGTCAAAGAAGTTTACTTCCTAAGAGATTTTTTTCATGAAAAAAATTTTCTCAACTTAGATTTCTGGAAACTGTCTAGGTCAATGCCAAGGGAAGTTTGGAAAGACTTTAAGAGAAGCCTAGCATCCATCTTTCTTAGAAGTAGAGGTGGATTTTGTTTTACATAGGCCTATTGGAAATGATAAAATGGAAGAAATCCTTTAGGAATCACTATAATATAAAACACTATTAAAATCTCTTTAAAAGTCTGTAACTTCAAGCAGTTCAGGAGTATCACAAGTTACAGGAGAGGTGTGGCAAATAGGTGAACTTTTGGGTGCCGTCTCTGGCCATGGGCATCTGGATGGAGGTCTGCATTGAAGATCTGAGGCTGAATTGGGCTCCATGGGGAAGACTTGCCTGAAGGTTTAACTGTGCCAACCATGGGGACTAGATGGGGTTAGGTAGATACAAAACGTGCCAGTATTTTTCACCCTTCAGGTCAAGGAAGACCTCCTTGGGAGGGCTGGGTGCACTTATTCCATTGAACGTCCGTGCAGAGCTGGGTTTGTTTCCTAGGAGAAACGGCTGCAGTGCCTGTCCTTCAATGGAGCGAAGGAGCGAGAGTGGCAGATGGAGTCTCTCATTCGTTACATCAAGGTGATTGGTGGCCCCCCTGGAGGAGAAGGTCTGTTAGTGGGCCTGAAGAATGGGCAGGTGAGCACTCCTGCATGTCTTCCATCAGCCTGAGTCGGCAGAGGCAGGCGACCCGTCTAGTGGTGACCATGAGATGGGTTCCCTGGACAGGAAAAAGTCTTCTCCCCTCCATGGGCGCGTTGGAGGGCAGCACTGATTTAGTTTTATGAGGACAGCTCCAGGCCAAAGTCACAGTGGCCCTTGGACTCATAGCATACTCACATTCTGCCAGAGTTGAACTGCAGCCTCTGGGCTGCACATAGAGTAGATTAGCGGGCTTGACATCATTCAATATGGGGGAGATTTGTTAGAGATGCAGCTTCAGTGGATTGCGAGAGGGGGAGGCAGAGATCATTACTTAGGTCAGATCTCTACTAGGGCAGTAAGTGGATTAACATAGTGTGTGCTAGCGTGTATCCTAGAGAATGCTGGGTCCTCAGGATGTTAGTAGATGCTATAAGAAAAATGAACCTTTTGGTCAAATAGATGTCAAAAATCTAGGTTACACAAAGTTAAACAGATTTCCGTGTGTGTGTGTATATGTGTGTGTGTTCTTTGCTCAAAATAAAAGTTCTAAGTGGGCTACATGAAAATTTGAATGTGAAAATATAACTGCATTAGCCTGAGAGCCAAGCTGTGTAGCAGATGGCTTGTGGCTGAGGCTTGTCAGATCTTTGCTTGGGATAGAAGTCACAGAGCATGAGATCAATGGAGCAATCAAGCAGCAATACCAAAGGGGAGGGAGGGCCTGCTGCTTTCTCCCAGTCAGCTCTCACTTCCCATGTGACACTGGGAGCGTGGACTTTGGGGTCAGGTCAGCCTGGGGTCATGTTCTTTGGGATCCTGGGAAGGTCACTTCACCTCTTTGAGGCTGAGGTTTTACAAATGAGGATAATACCACATGTTTCATAGGACTGTCAAAAACAGGGATATCAAAGCTGGGCATGGTGGTGTCCACCTGTAGTCCCAGCTACTCAGGAGGCTGAGCTAGGGGGATTGCTTGAACCTATGAATTCAAGGCTACAGTGTTCTGTGATTACACCGGTGACTAACCATTGTACTTGAGCCTGGGCAGCATAGCAAGACCCTGTCTCTAAAAAATGAAATTGAAAAAAAAGAAAGAGAGAGAGACCAGCCTGAGTGAGACCCGGTCTCTACTAAAAAGAGAAAAATTAGCCAGGCATGGTAGCACGTGCCTGTAGTCCCAGCTACTCGGGAGGCAGGAGGATCACTGATGCCACTGTACTCTAGCCCAGTGACAGAGCAAGACTCTGTCTCAAAAACCCCCCCCAAAACCCACAAAAAACCAGGGATAGCAATAAATGGTAGCTGTGATCATCATCAGTAGCATCATTATTATTTTATACCAGATGTCTTATCAGTGTCTATAGTAGCCTTTTCCTGTGTTAGTTTGTGTCTCAGATCTTTGTTAGGATGGTATCTCCTAACCCTGCAGTTTGGGTAATGTCATTAACAAATCCCTAGTCCAAACAGATGCTATAGTGAGTTTGGCCCGTCTCAGGCCTGTCATTGCTTTGGTGACCTCTGATGAACCACACTTCTGGTCTCCTAAGGATAAGCCACCACCCCTCCCGCCCCCCCTTTTTCTTTTGATGAGTCCTTTTCTCTGCATAGAGCTTCTGGTGAAATTAGTAGGAGTTGTTCTTGTAGAACACATGGGATTCCAACAGCCTGGCGGTGTTCCAGGGCCTTGTTGCCATGGTGACTCACTTTTTTCTCTGAAATTTTGACAGATCCTGAAGATCTTCGTGAACAATCTCTTTGCTATCGTCCTGCTGAAGCAGGCCACAGCCGTGCGCTGCTTGGACATGAGTGCCTCCCGTAACAAGCTGGCTGTGGTAGATGAAAACGACACATGCCTGGTGTATGACATCCATAGCAAGGAGCTGCTTTTTCAGGTGAAGTCCCTGAGAGTGCCCAAGGATGTGGTTCTTTGATTAGAAACCCTTCTCTTCCCTGCAGAGGCACCCCTTCTCTTGCCCAGGCAGGTCTCTGGGAGGAGCAGTGAGGTGTAGGGACCAAGCATAGGTGCAGAGTCCGAGAGGCCCTAGGCCACAGCCTGCTCCTCCCACGTACCCATGAGCTGCAGGGCCTGCTCCAGCCTCTGTGAACTTTGGTTCCCTTCCTGGCAAGTAACACCTTTCTTACATGTTTACTGTGAGTAATAAATGAGATAATACTAAATCTAAGTGGAGCGTGTTGCGGGTTCTCAGTGAATGGACTAATGTGGTGGTGATGATGCTGCTTTCGAAGAAGTCTGCACCTCACCTACTAGAGGCCTGCCTGTTTCTGTGAGTGACCTAAGGCACAGTAAGGAAACAGGATCAGTTTTGTCACCTGAAAGAAGGAAAAGAACAGGAGGGGGAAGTCTGCCCTTCTACTTATTTCACGGGGATGCTATAAGAGCCAGCAAAATGTGAACTGTTTGGATATTTTGGGGTATAGGCGTTGTTTACACATCACTCGTTCCTGTGGCTGGAGGAGGTGTGTCACTGGAGAAGAAAGCCCAAAGGCTCCATGCCCAGTGCCTTGTTGGGTTTCTGCTGGATGGGGCTGTTCTTTGCCTCTTTAGGACTTTGTAAGTGGTCAGGGCTGGTTTGCCTGAAGTGAGTTTCCCCCAAAGCTAGAACCTCTCCTGACTGGTTTCCTTGGCCCCCGCAGGGTTTCCCAATGTTATGGGCAGATTTAGGTCTACCTAACAGGGCTCCTTGTCCTGAGCAGTGGAATCAGTAGGGCGTTGGGTTGCCTGGAGTAGGGAGTTGCCTCAGTCAGTTAGAAGGGGTTACCTGGCTACCACTAGCTCAGAGGTGACTTCAGTTAATATCAACTTGTTCATGTCACTGAGGAAGTAGAGTGGTTTTAGGGGAGAGAAAGAGCACAGCCTTCAGACTGACCTGGGCTCAAGTCAGGCCTGCATCACTTACTGTGTGATCTTAAGCAAGTTAGTGAACCTCTCTGAGCCTCAATTTTTCCTTATCTCTGAAATGAAACTAGTAATTGCACCCTCACAGAATTGCTACAGAAATAAACAAGGTACCATAGTACCTAGCTCAGTGCTTGGCACAAAATAGGGCCCTAAATGTTACTTTCCTTTTTCCCCAGCCTCAACACTACTCCCACCCCAGACCTGTAGGTAGGTTAGCAGGCCCCAGTTGTGAATCTGTGTCTGAGCCTAGAACCATATGAGAGTGGAAGGGTGTGTGCCCTCCCCATCCCCACTGATGCCTCTATAGTAGGCTAGGAAAGTTGTATTAGTCCATACATGAGGCTGGGTAATTTATAAAGAAAAGAGGTTTATTTGGCTTGTGGTTCTGTAGGCTGTACAGGAAGTGTGGTGCCAGCATCTGCTTCTGGCCAGGGCTTCAGGGAGCTTCCAATCAAGGTGAAAGGTGAAGGGGGAGCAGGTGTGTCACATGATGAGAGAGGAAGTGAAAAGAAAGGGAGGAGGAGGTGCCAGGCTCTTTTAAACAACCAGCTCTCCCCTGAGCTAATAAAGTGAGAGCTCACTCATTATTGTGGGGAGGGCACCAGGCTAATCATGAGGGATCTGCCACCATGACCCAACACCTCCCCCAGGCCCCACATTCGACACTGGGGATCAAATTTCAACATGAGATTTGGAGGGGCCAAATATCCTAACCATATCAGAAGGTAAGTCTCAGGCCTTGCCAGGACATTGACATTCCCAGTTGTAACATTGCCTGCTGCCTTTTTCTCTTCTCAGCTGCCCCTGCCCCCAACAAATGAAAACAGCTATATTGTTTTTTTCTCATTATAAAAGTAGTCCATGCTCATTGTAAAAGATTCAGATATTGTAAAAGATTCTAAGCAGAAAGGTACAAGCATCTGCTGGTCCCTGGGGCTCCAGGGCTGAGCAGAAAACTAAGAATAGGTGTGTG